CCAACCTTGACTCTCACCAGAAAGTTATTCATAGCATCCACGATGACTTCTCCAATCATCTTCTACGATATTCCCAGCTCACTGCCCGGTAATGCCTGGTCCGTAAACCCATGGAAGACAAGGTGAGTCCTCTGGTGATACGAGCGTTATAAAACTCAACGTGTTCCCTTTTCCATCCGTAGATTTGCTTTGAACATAAAAGGTGTCCCCTACAAGACGGAGTGGGTCGAGTACCCAGACATCGAGGCCCTTGCCAAGAAGATCGGTGCACCCCCCACCGGAACCAAGCTTGATGGCAGCCCATTGTACACCATCCCCATCATCAACGACCCCAACACTGGAAAAGTCGTCTCTGACTCTTTCCTCATCGCTGAATACCTTGACGCGACCTACCCCAATGGCAACACTCTCTTCCCACCCGGCACAAAGCCCCTCTTTGCGTCCTGGGAGGCTAGTGTCAGAGGCGGATTGAGCGGCGTTTTGATGTTACAACTCGCTCTTAGCTGCTATGTCCTGAACCCTGTTAGTGCGAAGTACTTCAGGGAAACCAGAGAGGCGCGCTTTGGCATGAAGATCGAAGAGTTCTCCCCTGAGAGCAAACGCGAAGCCGACTTGGCTAAAGCCAAGGGGGACCTGGCTGCTGTGGACGGCTGGTTGGCGAAGAGTGGTGGAAAATATGTGATGGGAGACACTGTCTCGTATGCGGATGGTATCCTAGCTGGCTGGATGATATGGGTTAAGATCACGAATGGTATCTGGCAGGATGTCGCGACCTGGCACAATGGGCGGTGGCAAACGTACCTGGCTACCATGGAGAGCTATGCCACCATTAACTAGTTGTATGATTACTTACTCGAAAGAGCCTTGAAGTTGATGTGTATCATATGTAAATGTCTGTGCTCGGCCCGGGGTGATATGATATTCAAGCGTGAAAGCAAAAAGCCAAAATTATGTAATGCAAAATAACCCTAACAAGGAATCATACTACCCAAATGCAGTACACTTGCTCATAATGCATGTGGTTGGGCATTGTGAGAATTACGCATCACCAGCATGCACTTTTGGCTGGTAGGAGGATACTCATGCTCAGGTCAGAAACACTCTTCGGGGAAGAGTATACTAGTGGTTGCCCTGATCTGGCGGTGGAAAGACATAAAAACCTGAGCAGATTCGTTGAACGATCCCATGTAGTCGTCCTCGAAGCCAGCAAGCAGTCGGAACTAAGCAGTGTGGGAGGAGTCTCGGACGCCAACTCCGGCTGTGACCAATGACAACCACTCGCATGCCCAACACGCTTCTACCTGACAGCTTCGCGGCAATCTCTGCACCATTGCACATGGGAACGCTGGTAATAAATCTAGAGGTATGGACGTTCACCGATTCGGACAACGAAGTACAAATTGCGTTGACGAAAATATCTTCGCGATCTATAACAGCACACTGGCAATTTTGACGATGATAACGATGAGGATTCGGTTCCAATGCCTGGAGGGTTTCCCTCTGAGTCTGGTCCTGGCCTTCTACTTCTATGTATTTGACTCTCATGGCTTATGGGCGTATGCCAGTATTCCGTGTTGATTTTACTGGTAGAAGATGCGCATGTGGAGGTTCTCACGGGCGCGACAAGGGTGACTAGTGACTTCTCGTGGCGTTCGGACGCGATGCAAGAATAGGGTCCGAGTGGGTGGGAGTCTCTTGTGATTTGATAGCTTCTAGTGCTTGTATTTCCGAGGATCGTGCTCCAAGTTTCCATAGCATCACCAACACTTCAACATCTCTGTGCTCGTTTATAAAGGCCTTGTGCACTTTTTCTTTGCCAGTCAAATCAGACCTACTTGAAAGTGGATTCCTTCTAATTTGCGAGTCATACTTTACATGATGGACAACTTGCGACCATCAAAGAAACCGCCACTTCTTTAAATTAATTACCAGTGCCCGTGGGGACATAGTGTTTCAAGTCTTCGAATCCGTCTGTCTTGCGTTTCAAAGGACTGCGGAACAGTACAGTATATAAGCCATACCCAACCTTGACTTTCACCAGAAAGTTATTCATAGCATCCACGATGACTTCTCCAATCATCTTCTACGATATTCCCAGCTCACTGCCCGGTAATGCCTGGTCCGTAAACCCATGGAAGACAAGGTGAGTCCTCTGGTGATACGAGCGTTATAAGACTCAACGTGTTCCCTTCTCCATCCGTAGATTTGCTTTGAACATAAAAGGTGTCCCCTACAAGACGGAGTGGGTCGAGTACCCAGACATCGAGGCCCTTGCCAAGAAGATCGGTGCACCCCCCACCGGCACCAAGCGTGATGGCACCCCATTTTACACCATCCCCATCATCAACGACCCCAACACTGGAAAAGTCATCGCTGACTCTTTCCTCATCGCTGAATACCTTGACGCGACCTACCCCAATGGCAACACCCTCTTCCCACCCGGCACAAAGCCCCTCTTTGCGTCCTGGGAGGCTAGTGTCAGAGGCGGATTGGCAGGCATTCGGATGTTACAACTCGCTCTTAGCTGCTATGTCCTGAACCCTGTTAGTGAGAAGTACTACAGGGAAACCAAAGAGGCGCTCTTCGGCATGAAGATCGAGGAGTTCTCCCCTGAGAGCAAACGTGAAGCCGATTTGGCTAAAGCCAAGGGGGACCTCGCCGCTATGGACGGCTGGTTGACGAAGAGTGATGGGGAATATGTGATGGGAGACACTGTCTCATATGCGGATGGTATCCTGGCTGGCTGGCTCATATGGGTCAAGATCACAAATGGTATCTGGAAGGATGTCGCGACGTGGCACAATGGACGATGGCAAACGTACCTCGCTACCATGGAGAGCTATGCCACCATCAACTAGTTGTATGATTACTTACTCGAAAGAGCCTTGGAGTTGATATGTATCATATGTGAATGTCTGTGCTCGGAGGGTGATATGATATTCAAGCGTGAAAGCGAAAAGCCAAAATAAATGCAAAGGAATCATACTACCCAAATACAGTACACTTGGTCATAATGCATGTGGTACCGCCAAAAGTCCATGCATTGTGAGAATTACGCATCACCATTGCACTTTTGGCTGGTAGGAGGATACTCATGCCCAGGTCAGAAACACTCTTCGGCGAGGAGTATACTAGTGGTTGCCCTGATCTGGCGGTGGAAAGACATAAAAACCTGAGCAGATTTGTTGAACGATCCCATGTAGTCGTCCTCGAAGCCAGCAAGCAGTCGGAAGTTAGAACTAAGCAGTGTGGGAGGAGTCTCGGACGCCAACTCCGGCTGTGACCGATGTGGCAATGACAACCGCTCGCATGCGCAACACGCACTTACACGCTTCTACCTGACAACTTCGCGGCAATCTCTGCAGGATCGCACATGGGTACGCTGGTAATAAATCTAGAGGTATGGATGTTCACCGATTCGGACAATGAAGTTGCGTTGACGAAAATATCTTTCGCGATCTATAACAGTACACTGGCAATTTTGACGATGATAACGAGGAGGATTCAGTTCCAATGCCTGGAGGGTTTCCCTCCGAGTCTGGTCCTGGGCCGTCTACTTCGATGTATTTGACTCTCATGGCTTATGGGCGTATGCCAGTATTCCGTGTTGATTTTACTGGTAGAAGATGCGCATGTGGAGGTTCTCACGGGCGCGACAGGGGTTACTACTGATCATGAAAGGCGTTCTGACGCGATGCAAGAATAGGTTCCGAGTGGGAGTCTCTTGTGATTTGATAGCTTCTAGTACTTGTATTTCCGAGGATCGCGTTCCAAGTTTCCTGCATCACCAACACTTCAATACTTTGTGCTCGTTTATACAGGCTCTATGCACTTTTTCTTCGCCTGTCAAATCCGATCTACTTGAAAGTGGATTCTTTCTAATTTGCGAGTCATACATGATGGACAACTCGCGAACTGTTACTAACTTGAAATTCATTCCCAGTGTCCGTGGGGACATAGCGTCTCAAGTCTTCGAATCCTTAAATCTATCCCCACCATCTGTCTTGCGTTCTCAAAGGACTGCGGAACAGTATATAAGCCATACCCAACCTTCATTCTCACCAGAAATTTGTTCATAGCATCCACGATGACTTCTCCAATTATCTTCTACGATATTCCCAGCTCACTACCCGGTAATGCCTGGTCCCCAAACACATGGAAGACGAGGTGAGTCCTCTGGTGATACGAGCGTTATAAAACTCAACGTGTTCGCTTCTCCATCCGTAGATTTGCTTTGAACATAAAAGGTGTCCCCTACAAGACGGAGTGGGTCGAGTACCCAGACATCGAGGCCCTTGCCAAGAAGATCGGTGCACCCTCCACCGGCGCCAAGCCTGATGGCACCCCATTGTACACCCTCCCCATCATCAACGACCCCAACACTGGAAAAGTCATCGCTGACTCTTTCCTCATCGCTGAATACCTCGACGCGACCTACCCCAATGGCAACACCCTCTTCCCACCCGGCACAAAGCCCCTCTTTGCGTCCTTGGAGTCTGGTGTCGTTGGCGCTTTGGGAGGCATTCTGATGTTGCAGCTCGCTCTTAGCTGCTATGGCCTGAACCCTGCTAGTGAGAAGTACTTCAGGGAAACCAGAGAGGCGGCCTTTGGCATGAAGATTGAGGAATTCTCCCCTGAGAGCAAACGCGAAGCCGACTTGGCTAAAGCCAAGGGGGACCTCGCCGCTGTAGACGGCTGGTTGGCGAAGAGTGATGGGAAGTATGTGATGGGAAACACTATCTCGTATGCGGATGGTATCTTGGCTGGCTGGCTCATTTGGATTAAGGTCACAAATGGCATCTGGAAGGATGTCGCGACCTGGCACAGTGGGAGGTGGCAAACGTACCTGGCCGCCATGGAGAGCTATGCCACCATCAACTAGTTGTATGATTACCTACTCGAAAGATCCTTGAAGTCGATATGTATCGTTTATAAATATCTGTGCTACGAGGGTGACATTCAAGCGCGAAGCAAAAAGCCAAAATAAATGAAAAATAACCGGGCCTGGCCGGGAATTGAACCCGGGACCTCCTCGATTGTCTACCAAACCGAGGAATTCGGTAACCCTAACAAGGAATCATACTACTAGACCACCAGGCCGGTGCTGAGTCCCTGAGCTTTGAACACACTGGTTTACAAAATTCAAATTTAGCAGATGAAGGAAAAGTACAAACGAGTGTATACGCGAGATACAACTAATCCATGAAGATGCTACCTGAACTGGAGGACGTTCTACAATGGTATTGTAAGGCGGCCTTCCGGAGTACCCTCGAGCTCTCTCCTGATGCCAGTGGTGGACCATCGCTGCTTTTGTGGAGTATGTGGGTCCACGGCAGCCCTTGTGTTCTCCTTGTGAACGCATGGTGGTTTGACAAGAACGACTAACCGAAGGTGTCGCAGAGGGTGGGTTGGACGACGCACCACCGACCGTTCCTTGGGCATTTTCGTCTTTTGGGCGGAGTCCCTTGCAAGCAAACGGTGCCTTGGGGAGCCGGCCGGCCCGGACGCCCAGAAACGTGCTTCTTCAAGTTAGCGGCATTCTTGTCAGAGGCTAGCTTTCACCTCGAGCACGATCACCTTGGCCAGACACTTTGATGCTTGGACTCTGTTGGGCATCGGAAAAGTCGCTCCAAGTGAAACTCTGGCACAACGGCGAGGAACGATTCAGGAGATACAGAAGACGATGCTCGACCCCCTGGTGACCACGTCCTCTAAACGGGATTTCATGGTTGGCGTCTCAGATTGAGGTCGAGGTTGATACTCGGGCCAGGAACATTCGTCGGGGAGGAACATACTCGTGGTTGCCTTGATCTGGTGGTAGAAAGACATAAACCCTGAGCAGATTCGTGGAACAATCCTATGTAGTTCTCGATGCCAGTCCGCAGCCGAGTGAACCCACGTCCGTCGGAACCAAGCAGTGTGGGGGGAGTCTCGGGTGCCACCTCTGGCTGTGACCATTACATGACAAACCGCTCGCAAGCGCAGCACACTTCTACCTGACATTTGTGGCATGGTCTGATGGTCCGTAAAGGGCTTATCAGAAAGCCGGGTATCAAATGACAAACGGAGGCGACCAAACCCGCGGGGAACGCCGAAAGGCAGTTAGAATGTCCAGGTACCTCAACTGGTCCATAACGGTTGGTTTCAGTTGTAAGGGGCTTACCGACTTTCCACGGTAATCTGGGCGCACTTAATGGAATTCCAGTCGACGGGACCGAGCGAATCGGCACCGCTGTGGGTGTACGGATTTATGGAAACCTCAGGATATCACGTAGAGCCAAGGTCGCCGCTCTCCGCCTCCATCCGGTGACCATCAGGACTTAAGTCCGCAGATTTCGCAGGCACATGCACAGTCCACCTACGACTTCCCGTAGATCGAAAGACGCCTCTCGGAACGAGCACAAATACAGAAGACGTGGAATCTTCATTATCGCGACCTGGAGTTTCGCATTGTACGTTCTCGTGCGTTGTTACGGTGCTCGGTATCAAGCGGAAATATAGAGCTTTCCGAGACCCAGTTCCTCTGTAGGTTTATATTGTCAAGCGTCCATGTAATGCGCTCGGGGGACCGTCTAGCATCAGTGTATCCTTGTATTGCCAAATCAGCACACGTTCAGAAGGTGCTACTTGACCAACTTACAACCCATTTCCGAGCGTATGTCTTCCTTTATCCTCAGCTTCATACGAGTGATTGTCAGAGCTGTCGTAAAGAGGGGAATGTCATCTTCATCTGAGCAGATGGCACGTAGTTCGAGGTGGCCGGATAAGCAAGAGAAGTCGCGCACGGCGAGGATTGACCTGGAAGAGCGGTGGCTGGTGTCCATCGCGAAAGTGGGAGGGTCCTGCAAGAGGCGATCTTCCGAGTACAGATCTGAGTTGTCACAGTGTCTCCGGTGGGGTCTTCAGCGAGCCACCCGGGCAATTCCCTGGCCTGGTCCATGATTTCTCGTATGTCAAAGGTAGTTGACGGTGGGAGAGCACGCGAAGACCTCGACAGACTGAGGGCATGACGATGTTTACAGTGAGATTACGAAAGGAAGAAAACAGGAATAAAGGTTTTCTGACATGAGTCTGTTGAAGGACGACCCGAAGAGGCTGACGAACTCCTGGCTGACGGACCTCAGCGTTCGACAAAGCTAACCACGCAGCATGTTATTTTGCAAGATACATAAGTGACATACAAGAAAACAATCACCAGTGCATTAGACAGTGCAGAAGAGATCAAATCCTCAGCCACGGAACATATACCCTCTTCTCCCGACGGATCGTGCCTTCAATAGATACATGCCCCGAGGAATACTTGCATGCGACACAGCAGTGGTATTACACCCCGAGCGCCGGAAAAAACCCTGAACGAAGTGTGTGCCGACGGGGGTGAGACAAGCGGAGCCGTTGACGACGGGTGTGGAGCAGATCGGTGACCACCAACGCGATAGGGGAAGGGGATGTTATTTATTGGACTTGAAGGAGGACTGGAGTAGCCATGGACTGTACACGATGGGAGATCTAAAGCTACCTACAGAGAATGGGGACGTTGTTCGACAGTTACGTTAGTAGGTGACAGATATGCAACAGAATGCACGTACGTTGGACTCATACATGAGCCCTTTTGATTGGCAATTCGCGCTTTAGGTGTGCTGGTGGCTCCCCCCATCTGAGCCCTCGGTGACTGCTACAGATTTTGTGCGTATGTTCAGTCGAGCAGGGAAACGAGGAAAGGTGGGACATACAATCGAATCTATGGGAATACTGCACTCGCCGTGATGGGTAGGTACATAGCACGCCACCCTCCCCTTTGTTAGGCAAGCATATACAAGTCAAGAGCTCGGCAGTGGAGCTCTCTCCGCCTTCCATTTTTTCATAGTTGGGATAGTGGGGACTGGAGAGATCCATTCTCTATACGAAGAGCCAAGTCATCCAGCTGCTGGAGCATATCTCGCATGTCCTCCAGAAGCCCATCTTTTGGACCTATAACCGATCCGGAAGAGGTAGGCACTAGACTGGAACACCCTCCTGAGCCAGTGACGTGTTGGTTCGCAACGACGTGCATAAATACACATGTACCGTTCAGTTCCGCAGGCACAATGTCGAAAGTCCTTCCGGAATGCTTGGAAAGATATCTTGTGCATGTCTGAAACGAGGATGGCGGCGGAGGACTGAGCGGTGGAGTAAGCGAGCGCGAGGGAGTTACGAAAGACAAGGTGTCGCGACCAACATCATGGCTGCCTTGGATGTTGCTCCGGTTTCCGGGCTCTTTCATGTTCCTCGAAGTATTGGACAATCGCGTAGCATATGTTAGCTCGGGACAAGGCGGCTCAACTCGAGTGTGGGAGGCAATAGATAGGAGAGAATCCAGGGATCGTGAAGCAGCCATGGATGAACTGCGCCTCGGCGAACGGTCCCTTGAAAACGCCCTGGCGTACTATCCAGGATGCTCATCCCGTGCTGGGATAAACATGGAAATCCACGGGGGCAGGGCAAGAATGTGGATGGCGAATTACGACCGGTCCTATCGGGAGGGTGGTCTGTTTGACGACGGGTGTCCCATGCCCATGAGAACCTTCGCGCCCAAAGGTAAGGTACCCCGGAGAGGAAGAGCATGGATCCCCTTAACAATGACGACACAGAGGCGGCCTTCTGTAGGCGCAGTGAGGTCTTTGGATTGTTCTCGTTGGGAACCGTCTGAGATATGCTGGAGGTCATGGTGAAATCTGAGGAGTATTATAGAGAGGACAAAGTTAGTTTGTTATTGTCATTTGGGTGGGTGAGATGATAGTCAGCCGCCGAGTCCATGCCGGCTGTGCATAGACGGGGCTCTGGTCATACTAGAGGCCAACTGAGTTTCCGTTGTACCGGTCCTCGCCACCGTTGACACAAGCAGTACGTATAAGTTTAGGATGGCCACAGAAAGAGTACTATTAGTGAATCCGGTGCGATTCCAAAGATTGCGAAGAGCAAGGGTGCCATGCGGCTCAGGCTTGGAGTGTCGGTTTTACAGCTTTGAGCGTATCACCATTGGCAGTGGGCACCAGGCTAGCCATCGTTGGTGTCCTCGTGCTCAATGAGAACTTGAAGATGTTCGACTCATCAGTCACGTTGGTTGTCGCAGCGTTGTAGTGCACCAGCGACGATTGCAGCGATGGCGCTGGCAGATTGGAGGCATGATGTATGGATCTCTAGACAACTGCGCTTTGTTGTTGAAGATGATCAAACAAGACTATGATCATGTTTTCGCACTGGACACATCCAGTATATGACGTGGATCGTCCTTGCATCTCACGCTCGAAATTTCTTTCTGCGTGCGTGCGAGTGGTCCCGGTCTGCCAGAGGTCTTTTCAAACGGCTCTTACCATTCCACAGTCCTCGGGCTTTTCGCTTTTCACTCTGTCGGTCGTCTGCCTTCTGGTTTGGTGAGCATCGTTCTATTACCCTTGTACACGATGAATTCGAGTTATTTTGCACGTCAGTCAGACCTACGTGTCTCATGACACGTTGGAAAGGACGATGCTCTTCGCATTACTGACCATACCTCCTTCTCATGTCTCCATCGATGCTTACGACCAATTTCTTCAGAGCGTCCACGATTCAGCTTCGCGTTCAATTATTCTCCCTCTGAAATCAGTAATCACACTCGCTTCTTCTGCTCGTCCCTGACTCTCACTCCGCACCAAACACGCGCTCATTCTCGCATACTATGTCTTCCTCTAATACCCCAGGTGCTTCACGCACTACACTTGCGCCCTCCACCTCTAATGGCACGCGGCCGAAGTCTACTGGGCTTATTCCAACCAACAATGTCACTACTAAGGAGGGTACGACCGTGCGCGCCCGCATCGATCCCACTCTTACGGTCGAGGATGTCGTCCGCCAACTTTGTGTCAACCTCAAGGTCACCGAACCTTCGACCAACTTTGCCTTGAGGGACCGCGACAACGATGAATTGGTAACCAACGACAACCTCAGAAAGAAGATCAAGAACAAAGCTCATCTGAAGTGCGTGTTTTACTTTGTGATCATAACCGTTGGGTGTTCACTGGCGTTGGTACTAGATTGGTCAATGCCTCTGATATCGAAGCAAGAGAAATTGTTCAGAAGCTCAG